GGGTGGGGTGACAGGGTTGGGCGGGGTGGATGCTTACTCACTGTCATCATGAGGCCATCCTGTCCTCCACTCTACTCCATGCCTCCCCACATCCCAACCCCCCACCCGCCCCCCCGCAACCCCCACTCACCGCTCCCAAGGCAGTCTCTGCAGAGCTCTGCCTTAATTACCTGCATGGCCTGACATGAGCTGTCAGTGTGACTCAATGCTTGTTTGGCCCAGTAGAACTGCCCTTGTGTCCGTGATGCCCACCGTAGCACCACAAATGATCTCTGACCCGGCGAGGGCCACACTGTGGCTGACAGCCAAGTGGACTCTAAACCTCGTTGACCTTGGGCAGAGAAGACATGTTGTGGCAACTGTTTAATTCAGTGGGACAAAATCATGGGAGAGCGGTAGAACATGTTATGTAAAATACCTTTGCAGTCAAGACGGTGAGCTAAAAATAAGTGTGTTTGTGTTTGTTGTTTTCTGAACACGGAGATGTGAAGCTCTCAAACACACTCAGCAATTGTTGATTAATGGTGTTTGGTAGAGTTAAACACAGACTCTGCATAAAGCCCCTGACACATCAGCCAGCTAATGCACAGTCTAATGCATGGACCCTTTTATGTTGTGTGTAAGCGGGACTGGTATTGATTGGACATTTACTTAAATAAATTGCCTGGGTGATTAGGAGGAAACCAGTTATGGACAATGTCAGAGAGCCGGTTCAAAGGTCCCACCTAGGAGACAGAACAGGGAAAATATGAGTATTTTTTTGGATGAGAAACATCATTACATTTATGTTTTTTCCCACCTTGCAACTGGTGTGTGTCGTTCTTTTTAAGTATGAGACTAACAGTTATGGTGTTGTAAGATGGCCGATGTCTGTGGGCTCCTGTCACATGAGCGCTCATCCCCCCACATCCATGTGACACGCCTGCATGAAGTCGCCTTGACCACAGCATGTCTGGTGTCCTTGAAGCAGAGCCTTCACCTCTACACCCTGACCCCAATCTTTACAAAATTAGGTTTTTACAATAAAAAGCCTGTTTGGAGATACTGTGTCACGTAGTATGACGTGTGCACCATGGGTTAGACCAGGGCTGACCAATATGTAGACTGGGATCTACCAGTAGATCATAAAGGGAGAGCTGCTAGATCAGGAGCAGATTAAATTATTAATAACATTCCTGTCTAGAATTAACCATATACTGTAAATACTGACTTAAATCATACTGTACCACAGACATACATGCGTTTAACTAGTGCCCTGACATATGTTGTATACAGTATCGTTTAACAATTGCTGTGACTATGGTTTTTATTTATATATTATTACTGCAGGACTTTGAGAAACTTTAAAAAAGTATGTTCTCCCTAAACTGTCATTTCTCCAAAATCCATATCATATCCCTCAAAATATATTTGTGTTTTTTTTCTCCCACCAAACATATTCCAACAAAACAAAGAGGAAAACAATTACAAACACATCAACACCAATGGTGACACTGAGATATTAGCCTTGTGGTGCTAAAATGGGGAAATACAGTACATTTGGGTTATTCTGGGTTTATTTCTCATTTCATTATAAGTTGTTGAATACTCCTGATTTTAGAAATACATTTTGGTTTTCATAGAAAAACTATAATGGAATACAAATACCATCCTTCCAACCGTCTTCGTCTGCTTATCCGTTACCCAGTCGCAGGGCAGCAGTCTCAGCGATTAATTAAAGATGAAATACAAATAACAAGAGTCATCTGACTTTCAGTTTCAGTTTGTTGTTATTTTCCTTCTTGTGTGCAGTATGTGATGTTTCTGTGTTGTGCGTCTGTGCAAAAGTAAACTTGAGCGTGAAAGTCAGGGTGCAGCGGTGCAAAGGAGAGATGAAGGTTAGAGAGAAATGCAAACGGACAGCAGTGCGTAGGAGCAAAGAGGAAGGTGAGAGTCTGGGGTGAATCAGAGTGGAGGACTAATGTGAAATGTTGTAGAATACAGATGAGACGGAGCTCACCTTTGACCTCCGCCATGGCACCTTCTCCCAACCTTCTGCCTGGTCTTTACATTCTCTGTCTCTCTGTAAATAATGGTCTGTGTGTCAATGTGTAAGTGCTTTCCAGGCTCGCCGCTACCCCTCACCCCCCGCCCTATTTGGGTTCCTGGGCCCTCTACTGAAAAATACATGTGCTCTTTTTTTTTTCTATCTGACCGACTGAGATGGACACTGCTCTGTTTCCATCAGGCTTTTTTAGACTTAAGGAATCAGTCTTCCAGAATGAGGAGGTGCTCAGATGGGGCCGGATGGGTGAATATTTTATGAGTTTGTGCAAAGTAGACAGTGTGACAAAAGTAGTTCTAAGATAGCCATTTATTTATTTATTTGTTTACTTTATTCTCGCAGTCACATGACATGTCCCAAACCAGCATTAGCTTCTGGCTGGGGACCCACAGAAATTGAAATTATATATATATATATATATGTATATATATATATATACATATATATATATATATACGTTTTTGGAATTTTCTAACTTTTATTCACTATTCAATAATCCTTACGATATTATTATTACGATATTATGGCAGTTTACGTGTTGTTTGGTAAAGGAACATTACAAAAAAAATAAAATAAGTAGAATATTTGCTTATCTTTCCTCCAATTTTCTGAGATCCCCAAGGTACCTCCAGGGGGCCAAGCCCCACATCTTAAACACCTTTAAAATATCATCCTGGAAGTCTGAACGTGTTCTTGACAATTATTTCATCAGATAATCTAATGTTCGACAAAAAAATTAAATATTTCATCGACTAATTGTATTATACACTTTCAAACACCTGGTCCAAATCAGGCTTCACTCTCTCTCTCTTTCTCTCTCTTTGTAGTTCATTGCCTTGTTAATGGTCCCGTACCTACAGGAAATTAGATGTAGCAGTACGAGAACGTTTAGATCATCGTTCAGATGCTGGCAGGCTGTTGGAGAGCCAACTGTACTAATCTGTGCTGAAATATTTACTCCACTGATAACTCGCAGTCACACAGGCGCCCCGCTTCCCATAACAGATGCTGTGATTTTATGACCATCTTGACGACAGATTTTTCTACTAGATAAAAACCACTGACAAGCTGTTACTCAGTGTGATTACATGGCTACAAATTAACCCCTGTGAAGTTCCTCATGCATCATTATGGGTTGAGATTAGTTTTTATTTTGGTCCCTTTTTTGGTTTATTTACTATATTAATGTGTTAGAGCCATATTTTGCAGAAAATATGACTGAAATAAAAAAATATTATTGGGAATAAATTAGCCCGGGGCCAATGCCTGAGGAAAACAACAGCGTTCCTTTATTTGCAGACACATCTACTCTGTTGACGAGATACTCCCACGTTGGTAAAGTGACACCTCAACGTTTGACTCCCACTCCGCCCGCCAGAGCAGCCGCTGTTATAAAAATAATTAATGTTCAGGTTTCAGGTGATCAATAAAAAACATCCTAAAGTGTCATGGCGCCTCTGCTGCCCCCTCCCTCCCCCCCCCACGCCTCCCTCTCCTCCCTGTTCTTAGATAAGAAACGAAAGGCTTGTATCTGTCGACAGCTACAAGCTCTCCCTCTTCAACACCTCCAGGCCTGGTCCTCTGAGTACTGTGTGTGAAGAGAGTGCCACTAGTAATGTGCTGAAACATGTGTACGCCGCAATGTTTGTTTGTCCTAACAGGTTGAACGACCGGTGGGTGGAAGTGGCCGGTGATTTGAGCATGCTCATTAGGAATTTATGGAGCGCTAAAATGTTTGGTCTCTGGGGAGGGGGGATTGGCAGCTGTCGCACTTGCAGGCAAGCTGGCGACAGCAGAGGGAGATTCAGTGGAGATCTCTGAATCATTTACTGTAGGCAACTGACTGCAGTCTCAACTGCAGCTCATTCAACCGTGGCTTAAATGGGATTTCATTATTAACAACTTTTATCGCTTTTGTTGTTGTTGTTGTTAGTTTACCAAAAAACTACGACGAGAACACACAACAATGAACATTTATTTTGAAGAATAATCCAAATAGTTTTAGAGGGATGAGAAGACGTTTGCAAAAACTTGAAAAAAAAAAGTTAGACCAATCAAAGACACTTCTAACATTCCACTGATTCCACTGGTGGATATCACACATGGTATAAAACCTCTAATATGGAAACCTCCAGTTGTACCTGCTGTAACACTTCATACTGCAGTATTTTGTGATTAACATGTACCGTCCATATCCAGTTGTTATTCTGTTCCAACACAGGCCTTATTGCAGCATGAGAAAAAGTCATGCTTCACTAAGATATCGCATGTATTGCGAAGGCTCTGAAGGAATCCACAAACCTTTGAAAAATTCATAAACAATACTGTGCCACTTTTAGTTCCGTAAGGGAAAATTATCTGCATAAAAACGTCAAATTGTCTCGTTTGGGATCCACCTAATTTACACTACGGGTCTTGGTTTTATGCTGACAGTGTCTCCTGTTAGTACACACAATGTGCACAGTCAGTGTTCTGTTTCATACACCTAAAAAGAAGTGCCCCAGATTTTGGAAAATTACCTCTGGAAAAAAAACAGAAATGTCTGCCTGAGTGTCTCATCAGCACAATTGGATTGTTTACATCTCATGCGTTTTGCACCTTTTGATATATTTTGAGATTTTTTTTAAGGGCGTGGCTCCAGGCATACATGTTGTGTAAGAACGGTTGACTTTTATTTTACACCCACTGCTGATTTCCTCCAGCTCTGCTGCAATGTCTCTCCACAGAAAATAAAACCCACTCTCCTGTTAGCTCTGGCTGCAGAGAGCAGAAACACATCTGGGGAAAAGAACCCTCTGTCTTTCTTCTTCTGAAAAAGAACAACAATGTATTGTAGTAAAGTGTTCACCCGGGGTAGTGACATACTTTATTGCTTTGGTAAATATTGACAAAAGTGTTGAAAGATAACGAGCTGATCTCACAGTTTATTCATGACTTTATTTCTCTCTCCCCTCAGTTTTCTGTGAAGATCTACGTTCCAGCTTATATTTTGTCAATGCATCTGTGCAAGAGGTAGTGTTCGCCAGCACCACAGGGACATCAGTGCCCTGTCCCGCCGCAGGCCTGCCCCCTGTCTCACTGCGCTGGTACCTGGCCACAGGCGAGGAGATCTACGACGTGCCAGGGATCCGCCATGTGCACCCCAATGGCACCCTTCAGATCTTCCACATCCCCCCTTCCAGCTTTAGCAAACTCATCCATGACAACACCTACTATTGCACAGCGGAGAACCCCTCAGGGAGAATTAGGAGCCAAGATGTCCACATTAAGGCGGGTCAGTGTTTTCGCCCACAGATATTTTCTGCTCAACAACCGGTCTGTAAGTCAAAGTGTCTTAGCTAATAACACTTCTTTCTGTCTTTCTTTCTTAGTCCTACGAGAGCCCTACACTGTTCGGGTGGAGGACCAGAAAGCCATGAGAGGCAATGTGGCGGTCTTCAAGTGCATTATCCCCGCCTCAGTGGAGGCCTACATCACTGTTGTGTCCTGGGAGAAGGACACGATGTCAATCAACGCTGAAAGTAAGTCAAAGCAGCTTCGATGTTCTTCTGGTCTTGGGACAGAAACAGTATATTTTTAGATTTATTATGTGTTAAATATATGTAACATATAGCATTTGTTGTGTGATATCAAAGTCACGTCTTCGCTATGATCTTGTAGATTTTCTTAGAGGCCTCTCTAAGAAATATTTCAATTGTATTTGCAAGGCCCAGAATAGGGTGCACAAATAGATTCTCTCCATTTATTCTGTACATAGTTCCAGTATCTAGTCATCTAATTTACCCTAGACGCCAAAGACGAGACCTAAGTTGTGTTTGTCAGACATTTACTAATTTTTGAATCAGTGATTCCAGCACATAACGTTCACCAGGGATCACTGTATCACAGTTCACTCTCTGATTTGGCAACATTTTTACAATAGCTGCTGATGCTCCTGACACGACCCAACATGGAATGTAACTAATTTCCTGTTATGTTTAAGATGATATACATTTGCGAAACTTTTCATCAAGCTAGTCCTGGTCAAGTGACACATCGCAGCCTTTGTGATGTTCTGAGCTTTGTGACACCACCGCCTCGTGGCATCAGGGCAGGGCGCGCTCAGTCTGTCTGTGAGCGTGCATGTGTGCGCACACACACGACTGTCTGACCCGATGACAGTGAGGTCCCGCTCCTCTTCCTCTGCCCAGTCTTCCATGAGAGAGCAGGCTGGCAGCCACGTCACTTTGTCTCAATGTATTGACCCATTTCTGCGGCTGATAGGAAGCACTGCAGTGCCCCGATCGTTCAAATCACTTAAATGGAACGCTCGCCTGCGTGATTGTTTGTCAGCCCTGGGGGGCAAATTCACTTTATGTGGGGCATTTAGCAAACTCAATAGACAAGAGCTAATGTCATTTTGCTTTTGGATGGAGGGCAAACACTGGCCACTGAATGCCTTTTTTTGTTGACGTGTCCACATTTGACCACTGAGGTGAAATCAGCCGTGGTGAAATCTATAGCAATCTCTTAATTGTCCATAAATGGATTTGCCTCAGGTGTGTGATGTGAGGGTGTGGTCGCTGTACAGTTTTATCAAAAGGCTTTCTTATGTCACCGAGTTAATATTTAGCTTTTGAGATTTCTGAAGAATTTGGCTGCAAACTTATTAAAAAATTTAAATTAAAAAGTGATGATACGTTTTTATGGATATCTATGGTCTGTAAATTGACCCTAGTGTGGGGTGAATGGTGTTTGTCTCTATGATGGTCCAGGGTGTAGCCTACTTTGGCTCCAGCCCCCATAAAAAAGCCTTAAGCAGTAGAATGACTCTTACATTTGGATGTTTACCAAAGTGGCCTACAGTTAGACCTTTGTTGAATCACAGAGTTTTTATATTGGTCCATATCTGGTCATGCTATGTTGTGATTTTATCTCTAAATGGGATTATAATTTACCTGGAGGTAAAATAAATAACAGTAAAATACATGTTGCTGAGGTCAATGTGATCACTATATGTATGTATATCTCTTACAGTGTGTATAACTGTTTACCTGTTATCATCCAAAGGTTAATTTTCTTCTGGAAAACCGTCACATCTGTAGCTGTTACCCAAGAAAACGCTGTCAGAACAATCATCCATCCAACATTCCGCAGCTCTTCCCTAAAATAAATAATGGATGTTAGAAGCCTATGAGCCCACAAGCAAATGGTCTTTAATCACATCTCAGTGCACACATCCCGCTGAAGCACTATCTATTCCCTCCAACTTCTATACTACACATATTTTAAGTGCACTATATTTATGTCTGTAATGCACACTGACTGACAGCTCAAAGTAAAACGGCTCAAATCCTTGGCCCGATTTAAATCTCTCAATATTTGAAGTTTTAACTCTGTAAAAAAAAAAAAAAAATCAAAGACATAAATAATTCAACTGGCCTTTCAATTTGGAAGGTGTAGCGCTGTGCAGCGTGCCCGCTGTAAGTCTCACTGGACGATGTAAACCTTTTTTGAGCTTTCGCAGGGCAGGCTGACAAAAGCAGCACTTAGAGAACTGGTACGTCCATTAGAACAGAACAGAACAGAACAGAACAGCACAGGACAGAACAGAACAGAACAGGACAGGACAGAACAGAACAGAACAGCACAGGACAGAACAGAACAGAACAGCACAGAACAGAACAGAACAGAAAAGAACAGAACAGGACAGGACAGAACAGAACAGAAAAGAACAGAACAGGACAGGACAGAACAGAACAGAACAGGAAAGAACAGAACAGAACAGAACAGCACAGGACAGAACAGAACAGAACAGGACAGGACAGAACAGAACAGAACAGCACAGGACAGAACAGAACAGAAAAGAACAGAACAGGACAGGACAGAACAGAACAGAAAAGAACAGAACAGGACAGGACAGAACAGAACAGAACAGAACAGAACAGAACAGAATAGAATAGAATAGAACAGAATAGAGTGCTGAAAAACACTTAGAAAGAACTCCTAATAAAAGCAGCAGATCAGTAAAGCTGTCTGGTACAAATGGTTTACAGAGGCTTGGAGTTAAAACAGAAACTGTAGGAAACATAAACTCCTGTTTAAGTACTAACTCTTCATTTTACTGTTTACTGTAGTTTATTTATTTACACAATATTAAAGTTACTTAAGGTTCTCAACTTTAATGAAGCAGTCTGTTTAATCTGGTGTAGAAGGATCTTATCAGCCACAGCAGCTCATGGACTGACGTTGGTTCGTACGTAAGATACAAAGAGTTTGAAGATTTTGTGTTAAACAATGGTTGTGTTGTGTATTTTTGGCTAAAAGAGAAGCAGCTGTATTACTTCTTGTTTCTTTTTTAAGCAATAGAAATGCATTCAAATGCTATTTTGTGAAATCGTAATCGCTTCGGTCTTTACTAAGTGGATTTCTGCTGCTGATGGTCAGAGGTGTTCAATCTAAATCTAGTTGGACTTCAGTGGGTTTCTCAAAGTTTTGTTTTTCTTTTTGTGATTAATGGACAGTGTGAAGACGAGAGGATTTCAATAATAATTTAAGAATGTCAGTAGGTTTAAAGGTTATACAATAAAAAAGTCTAATATCTAATAATAAATCAAATAAAAATCATATTTAAGTGTTGTTTACTCAACTCATCATAATGCTAAAGGGTGTGGAACATGAGAATCATTTAAATCCCATACTTTGGGTAGAATTATCCTTTTATTTTGGAAGCTACATTTTTCTTTTTTGTTTCCTCCTTCAAAATAAAACAACAAAAAAAGCTTTCATACTCACAATCAATGAGAGAAATAATTATTATATGTTGTTTATATTATATTATAACTGATTTATGAAAAAGCTGCTCATTTCTTTATCATTCTGACAGAACTTTATTTTGTCGTTAAAACAACATATCCTTCTGACTACAGCGAAAAAAAGTCTTACTGTGGTTGGATTGGAGTGATTTAAAAAAAACAACAACATCATCATCAAATATGTTTTGGAGCGCTCCCATTGGTTGAATGTGTGTTTCCTGTAGTGCGTGGTTTCTGTTTGTGCTGTGTTGCTGTGCAGGGCCGTCCCTCAGTCACTGAGGAGGCCTTGTAGTCGTTTGCCTCGGCCTGATGTTGCCTGCTCTGCATTCAGCAGCAGCAGGGCCAAGAGGGGGCTGAACCCCGGCACTGCTGCAGTCACACACACTCGCACACATGCACACTCGCACACATGCACACTTGCAGGGGCTCCTTTTTATTCAGTGCACGAGCTCAGCACAACTACTGTCGGCGGCCATTACACCACATGTTCTTGTTTCTGGACTCGACCACTGTGTTGTAATGTTGTTTTTTTTTTTACCATTTTCTGTCTCTTTATCGGTGACATCATTGAACAAATGTCTTAATTCATTTGATTCAACCCTTCTGTCATAGTGCTATCCTATTAGCAGCCATTGTGTGCTGTTGTTACCAGTGTACACAGACAGGTGAACTGTCTCTCTCTGGATGTTGAAGTGTTTAAAGTCATTTTTGTGAACAGGGGGGAAGATTCAAATGCACTGAAGTGGTTTAATTAACTGTGAATTCAGGGCTTTAAGGTGAATATCAAGAGTGGCCATCAAACTAAAACAAACAGCAGGAGAGTTGATCAGATGACCAGCGCAGTTTCAGTTTTTGAGCCTGAGATTATCTTGCTGTGTTCCATGAAAATGGAACTCATCAAGAAAGTAAAACACAGATAAAGTGTTTGGTTTTTTTTCTTTCTTTTGCCTTAGTGCATCGATGGCATTCATGCAGCAAACATAAAATACTGTGTAATGCTGTAGCCTACAGGTAGCATGTAAAAATAAAACGTCTTTTTGTAGGAAACAGCCTCGCAGCCTACTGGTTGCAGGTTTTTTTTTTCTCCTCCCTTTTCATAGAACGATGTATAAGAAGCGCAGCCATTGGTGCAGCGCAACCTTGAGCTGGAGCTGAGGTGGGTGGGTAATGGTTTTACTGGTTTCTTTGTGGTGGAGATCTAGAAGGAGAAAGGAGGGGAGAGAGGAGAGGATAAGTAGCTCTTTTTTCCTCTCTTTCTCTCTCTCTCTCTCTCTCTCTCTCTCTTTTCCCTCTCCATCCCTGCCTCACTCTCTGTCGACAGGCAGGATTGGAACTCTGATGTGTGACAGGCTGGATGTAGACTCTTTTTGCAGCATTCGTCATTCCGTCTGTCCGTGATTGGCTGGAGTATTGTTATTCACACAGAAAAATGGGTCAGGTGGCCTGTGGAGAATGGAGTGTTTGTATGGACGGATGGACCGATATCAAAACACACACACGTGCAAACGCACACACACAGGTACACGCAGGCGTGCGTGTACACATTCATACCTACACATGCAGGATTGGACTCTGCAGCAGAGATCCCAGGCAAATAAACAAGAGGTAAATAAAAATAAATCTAGGTTATGTGCTGCACGTCTCTCATGTTAAATTCACTGTATCCTCTCAGAAGCCGCGAGCTGCTTCTCTCCTCACACCCTGTGGCAGCGGCTTAGCAGGATAAA